ATAAATCCGATATGCGGCGCTGATTTAAATGTCACTCTATGTCATTCCACAATGATACATTTTTTGACTTGACAATATATAAGCTCTTCATTCAACATGCATAATTTTTGAACGGTCGAGTAAAAAAAAGAAACATATCATAAAATATTCTTCTTACGTTTATTTTAAATTTATTTGTTTAAAAATAACAATAATTTCAATTTTTTTTTTCATAGATTGAACAAGAATCTAATGTAAAAAGTAATACCAATGCGACACCTACCGTTAAAATAGAAAAGGAAACTTATTTGGAATTGTAACATTTTGGTCCGCCATAACAGCATCTTCGTTTTGCTTCTCTGTGATTGGTCAAGTAAAACGAAGATGCTGTCATGGTGGACAAAAATGCTACAATGGATACCAACTAAGTTTCTTTTTGCATTTTTACGGTAGGTGTCGCATTGTCATTACTATTTACATTGGATTCTTATTTAATCGATGAAACATTTTTTGTTGAAATTATTGTAATTTATAAACAAATTAATTTTTTTATAAAAAAAAAATTTAATAAATTTTTTAATGAAAAATGTTAGAAAAATATTTTATGACATGTTTTTTTTTCAACGATTCAATAATTATGAATGTGTATGCATTTTAAATGAAGAGCTTATATATTGTCAAGCCAAAAAAGTATTATTGTGAAATGACAGAGTGACATTTACATCAGCGCCGTATATCGAATTAATTTCGCTTGGCATAGGGGGAAATATTTTGACAGATAGTACTCGATCCTTTTGCAAAAGGAAAGTAAGTGATTTTGAATCAGTTGTTAAAAAAGGGATGCATGTTTAACGATGATTCTTCTGGAACTGGGCTTCGATGGATCCTCAGGATCATCAGAACCGCTCCCAGTTCTGGAAGTGGGTTTTGGTGGATCCTCAGGATGGACCAGACTATGGTTTGACAATGCCCTGGCCTATCCTGAGGGTCCACTTCCAGAACTGGGAGCGGTTCTGATGATCCTGAGGATCCACCAAAGCCCACTTCCAGAACAAAGACACTTACGTTCTCTTATTCAAACCAACAAAACTGAAACATGCATCCCTTTTCCAACAACTGATTCAGCCGAAATACATACTCTCTCTTTTCAAAATTTATCTGGTGCGAAACATGCATTCCTTTTCCAATAACTGATTCAGCCGTAATACATACTCTCTTTTTTCAAAATTTACTTGGCGCAAAACATACATTCCTTTATTGCGACAAAGTCGAACACACTTGCGTTCTTTTAGATCTCACCAATAGATTTCTTGAATTAATTGAACAATTATACAAATTCCAAATGTTTTTCCATTTAAATTGCATTTTTTTCATTTGTTTAGTTAATTACTTCGTCTGGTCTAGTATTTAAATATTTTATTTTCTCCAAAAAAGATTTTTCAGAAAGTTGTCATTTATTAATAAAGTGATAAGTTCTGAAAGTATACGTGTACTATACACGCAAATTTATTGTTTATTTATTTAAATCATTAAAATTCGTTCAATAACATCGATCCATATATTTTGTTTGTCAACAAAATGTTCTAAAATGCATTTATTGCACTTTGTTTTCTAGATTCGATACAATGTGTGTTCTCAAAACGAAAATCCAATATTTAAACTTAACAATGAATATTATTTTGCTATCAATAAAATATAAACAACATTGACGCATTCCATGCCATATAAACAGACTCCTTTTGCGTAATTAATTCTAGTCAAGCGTATGTTTTTAGCGGAAATCGGGATAAAATTTCTTTGTTTCCATTGGAATTGCGTCAAAACTGTTTATTTTGTCCATTTTATAATAAATGCGTCAAAACATATGTGAGGTAAGATATTTCACTACATTTACTATAAATACGAAGCAATTTTCAAGGAAGAAACAGTGTAAAACTGACATTGAAGGTACCTTTAATTATTTATTTATATTGGAGTACTGTAATTGAAAGTATTTTAAATATTATTTATTGTGAGATAAAAATGATGGATTACTCTTTTTATGGAAGGTATTTCAATTCCAAATTCTTTGGCGAAAATAATCACTTTTGAATTTTTAAATATATCAGATTAGTAGACGGAATTCGACTCCAATCATTTTTCCTGATGTTAATTGTTGGATGCGTTATAGCTCAGCCCGCGCCACCATTGTCACGACCAGGCGATGTTGTCGGTAAAGCGGTTATTGGATATCAAGGATGGTGAGTTAAAGATATTAATCTGGTGAAATGGATGAAATCAAAACCATTTTTATTTTCTTCACAAGGTTTGCAGCACCAAAAGATGGTTCCCCAATAAATGCCTGGGTGCATTGGATCAAAGATGGTTTAGAGCCAAGAACGCAGCCCTTACGTCCAGGTATTGAAACTTGCTCCAGCTTGGAATTATAGATTGATATTCATTAAAAATTGATAAATTACTTACTTCCATGTAGGTATGGTTAAATTCGACCTTTATCCTGATACACGAGAATACACAAAACTATATCAAACCCAATTGGGCGTCTATGGCAATAGACAGATAGGAGGGCTGTTTAGTTCATGGGATCAAGAAACAGTTAGTCTTCACTTTAAATGGATGCAACAGTATGGGATTGATTGTGTGGCTTTTCAGGTATGTGCTACAACAGTGTTAATATAAAATATCGGCACCAAAAAGCTCTAGCTTGTTTTAAATGATGACTGCCTTATTATTTAATTCCAGCGTTTTGGTCTTGCCCGATCATCGGATGTGATTGCTCGACAACAAGACGGAGTAATACAAAAGGTAATGAATGCCTCACAAACTTATCAACGTAAATGGTACGTGGCATGGGACATATCAGGTTGGAATAATCAGACCTATAGCACCGATCTTTTGACAGATCTAAATTATCTTAATCAACGAATTGGTGTCTTCAACCATCCATATTATGCGCGTCAGAATGGAAAGCTCGTCATTTCTTTATGGGGGTTTGGTTTCTATGATAGGTATTACAATGGATTCACAAGTATAAGTATGTGGAAAAAATAACGCAAACTTATAATTTCACAGAGAAGGTAGGCCAACAAATCCAGATACAGCCATCGATCTAATAAATCGGTTAAAAACAATGGGATTTTATGTCATCGGAGGAGTTCCCTCGGCATGGAGATTCACTGGTCAAAACTCATTGGCGACATTTCAAAGGGTTTATTCCGTGTTTCATATGCTGCAACCATGGCACGTTGGCGCATACACTACACCTGAAAATGCTCTAGCTTACCAAAATATTCTGAGCGGTGATTTCAATGTTACTAAAGCTAGAGGACAAGACTATCAACCCGGTAAGAAAATGATTCATCTAGAAAATAATTTAGTTTTAAAAAGTATTTACGGAAACCAATCTTGATTCACGCTTTTTTTTATCCGTTGTTTTCTCCACAGTTGTTTTTCCGGGATTTTCATGGTCAAACTGGCATACTGAACCGCAAAGTGTTCGAAATCAAATTCCCCGAATGGCCGGTAAATTCTTTTGGGCACAATTCTTTAATTTACGAAAATTAGGTATTCAAAATTGCATGGTTGCCATGTTCGATGAATATGACGAGGGAACTGCCATCGCAAAAGCCGCTGAAGACAAATCAATGGTGCCAGTGAATCAGTGGTTTTTGACATTAGATGCAGACGGAATTCATGTGTCTTCTGATTTTTATTTGCGGGTCTATAATGATGGTACTAAAATGATGAAAGGCATTACATCAATGCAGCAACAATGTCCTACAAGTTACACGCCTAGTGCATCGCAGCAATTGCTTCAAACACTTACTTCAATGAACCCATCACAAGCACCTTTGCTTAACACCATATTTCCACTCTTTATTTAATATCTTCGGATGAAGCACAGAATATCGTTTGAAGAAAAAGAAAGTTTGTATTTAGGTCCGTTTGTTCTGTGAGATAAAAAAATGTTAGTATTAAAAATTCCCTTCTCGGCTTTTTTAAATAAAATATCATGTGTTGAAATTGAAATTATCCAAATTAATAATTATTATTAGTGTTTAAACACAATGGAGGCTTCAGTGATAAAAATATGAAAACACACTTCATGTCAAATTTAAGCGAAGTTTGCAATTTGATAACTTTACAACCATGGAATAATCAGCTGATTTTTAATCTGACTTCGAATGGTATCCTTTGGTCGTTAATTTTGAGCTATTTTCAAAGTTCACTCTTCAATTTGGCAGCCACCTCCTTCTTGATGCCTTAAGCTATATATTTACCTTTTTCTTTAAAGAATCTATTTTCTGGCATTTGAATTATGCTCTATTTTGTATGTGTACGTGCTGTGTTCTTATATTCGTTGAATTGGAGTTAAGCATACATTTAATAAAGAGTTCAAAAAGGAGTGGGTTTTCAGAGTGGGATTTAATAAAGAGTTCAAAAGGGATCGAGATGGCTCTTTTTTTATCGTAATAATAGAAGGAATAATCGAATCCCATCAAAGTTTTGATGTCGTTCGTGCTATGTTGTGTGATAATTAGTTTTACGGCTAATTTTTCTACACATGATTTGATGTTAATGCTTGTTTTTCCCTTAATGTGGCCACTATTTTGTGGTTCATTTAAAGGGTTGAGATTTCATTTTCCAATCATATTTCCTTTGTCAATGCTTATTTGTGTTTGGGTCATTATTTTTTTTTTGTTCAACGTCAGTGCATTTAGTAATGCTTTCGTTGGATTTTTTGGCGATGGTCAAGCCAATCACAACGGAATGAGCCGAAAATTAAAGAAAATGTTCAACGGCAATTCCATATCAAATCGTCCAGATTTTTGCAGGCATAGTCTCCGATTTCGCTCAAAATTGGCATACAAGCTTGTTTTGGTGAAAAACTAAGAAAAAAAAATTCAGCACGGGCGTGGGTGGAAAATAGGGGGGGTTTTAATTTTTGAGAAAACTGAAAAAGGCACTTTTTTGTATGAGCTTCATATCAGAAACGGCTCGACCGATTTCAAAAACATGAATACCGTTGGAAAGGGATGGGGCTACAAAAAATGCCAACGCATTGACCCCCCGGGGGCACCCCCGTACCAAATTTTTGGTTCAAAGTATAAAAATCGATTTTTGGTCGATTGACGTATGCTTTTTTCGCGATTTTTTTTTCTTTTCTTATAGCTCATTTTATGCTGCTTCTATGGACGGTGTCAAACCACTCGGCTAAACTGGTCGAAATTGCACAACATTTTTGAAAAAGTGGAGGCGGTCAAACCCGACCCTCTCTTACAGTAGACTTTCAAGCGAATCACTTTCTACGAGCGCCATCTCTTTCACGCCCTTGAAAACAATGAAGCTTGTAAACTTCGCAAATTTTTCATATATAAATTAAATAAGTTTTGCAATAGTAGCTACGAAAATAATTAATAGAATTTATTATAAATAAAAAAATTGAAGTAACAACACACAAATATTTTATGTTATATGATTCTCATGTTTTGACTTATGAGATTGCTTTACGGTGTAGAGATATGTAGAGATGACAATTGGAGAAAATATTATTTTTGTATATCTGTCAAAATAAACAACGCAAACAACATGAAGAGAATATTTTTCAGATTAATTATCAGTATTATGCAAATAAAAAATTAAAAATGTTGCCAGTTCTTTTTTCTTCAAAAAACCTTAACGCAAATCTGCGATTCCATCCAAGAAAAATATTTGTGTGTTGTTGTTCCAGTTATTAATTATTTTCGTTGCTACTATTGCAAAACTTATTTACACTGTGGGCCCAGTCGGACTAAATTGTATACTTTTAGGATTTTTCTATATAAAAAATCCATATGGATTAAAAAAATCCTGACAGATTTAAAGTCAAAATATTAAAACAATACTCAAAATTAATAACAAAATAATGAATTCATTTTGTTAGTTGTCATCGATTTTACGGAGCAAAACATATAATGCAAAACGAACTGTAGCTGTCACAGAAACAATACATGTACACAAGCGACACACGTACAAGCCATAACAACAGAGAAAAATATGCTGAGCGAACATTCTAATACATGCGCTCACTACTTAGCTTCATCGCTGTGATACTTTGAGCGTACATGTAATGTTTATGTATTTGTATTTTTTCTGTGACAGCTACAGTTGACAATTTTGTTTTGCTCCGTAAAATCGATGACAATTATCAAAATGAATTCAAAAAAAATAATTTTGAGTATTGTTTTAATATTTTGAATTTCCTTCATAGACCAAGAGCCACTCTAACAAGTAACTTTTTTTTTTGCTTTATGTCAGAAAACTATGTTGAACCATGGTCCACCCAAAATTTGAGATTGATCTTCTTTGATGGGTTTGGGACTGAGCCACTTCCATCCGGTTATTTCAACCGAACAAGCGGAAGAAGCTCGTGACGTATCAGCATCACAGTTAACCATTAATACGGGCATTTTTTGGTCCTCATCCTCTGAATCAATTACATATATCGGAGATTCCGGAATACACCCGGAAGATATCGGGATGTTTTGGAGAGAATTCATACGAATATTTTGTTTCGCTACTATACTCTCCTCTATGGCAGCTTCTTCAGCCAGAAGCAGTAAATTTTCGTCGAATCCCATTGTTGTCTCATCTGAATCCGGATACGAATCCGAAACTGGTGATGTAAGAACATATGGATATGGCGTGGGAACTATTGGACGAGTAAACAATGTCCCCTCCTCGAAGTCTAATTCATCCCCAAGACAAATGGATGGTTGAGTGGATATCGAATCAGCTATGGTTATCACACTGTTGGCTGGTGAATGCGATGTGGCGTAACTGTGCCAGTCTGACGTTTGTGAAAATACAGGCGAATTATATCGAAATGGTGAATCGGGAATGGAAACATTTTCCAAATATACATAGTTCCATGGTCTAGGAGACTGAGCCATATTCCAATCGACCGGAATTTCAGCTTCACTTGTACGAGATGAAGACGATTGGAAGGGCAAAGGAGAAATGGGCGACCCTTCATACGGACTAATACAGTCCATCCAACTTCCACATAAGCTTTCCAGAGAGTCAATGAAATTTGACACCTCTGGGTTGGAAGTTCCATCGGTATTGGCAGTGGAAGCGGTTGCCGGAATAATCTCCACCTCCATTCTAACAGCGGATGAGCCATCGCTCGGAACCTCACCAACAATCAAGTCGGTTTCCATGCTTGCTGGTGACTTGCCAATTAAACTTGTACACTTAGTGGTCCTGTCAATTTGGACCATCTCAACACTTGCCGAAGTGCTCGCACCTTCATTCAAACCTCCGTACACAGCAGTAGCATCGTGCACGCCATTTCGTGTTTCTACTGTCAAATCTAATGGCTCGTCGCCAATCAGGTCGATAACCTCCCCTTCGGTACGTTCATATTCGTGCGATTCCAATTCACGCCAGACATTACAGGCAAAGCGGACCCCCTTCTTGTCCACGGACCAATTTTGATAAAATTGCGTCAAACGAATGTTTTTCAGTTAGATGTTGGAGTCCGCACCAAAATATCCGATCTGATCCTTGCAACGGAAACAATAAACTATGCCATCATGGACTAAAACATTCGATATATGTTTTGAGTTGACCGAAATTACTAAAAATACATGCACACAAAAAAAAAAAGAATTAAAAAAACCGAAATTTCTCAACGAAAAAATAACGGAAAAACATCAGAACATGGACAAAAACGCCAAATTCAGAACTAGCTCAATTTTTTTTCGAAATATACGTATTTTGTCATTTTTTCCGACCGAATTTCTCTTTTTTCATAAAAAAAATCAGAAAAAATTATTATTAGAAGGAAAAAAATATAAAAAAAATTAAATTTTGGAAACCCAAAAACCACATTTTATTTTCCAAAATAAAATAAAAATCAATATCTATAATATTATCTATATTATAAAAACGAAATGCCATTCTTTTGTCCTTAACTCCTCTCACAATTTTCAACCGATCTGAACCAAACTTTGCACCCTTATACTTTGGACCGAGATCTAGGTCACCATGAGGTTTTGGACCAAATTGGACTACTCCATCACGGTCGAGTTTTATTTTTTAAATATTTGTATGGGCGATGTCAAAATTTGTAAATTTCATGATCAAATTCGGATTCCTCGGCCCAAAATTATGGGAGAGGTGTACTTTTGAAGTTGGTTTAACAGCCATCGTGGTCTAATATGAGTTAAAACGTTTTATCACCGTTATCATGTTTTAACATCTTTTAACATCTTTTAACACGGTAAATGAGGTCAGAAGTATGGTCCATCATGTCCTAACACGATTTAACACGGTAAATGAGGTTGGAAATCATGGAACATCATGGCCAAACAACATTTATCACGGTTATTGAGGTCGGACAACATGGTAAATCATGGCCTAACAACATTTAACACGGTTATTGAGGTGGGACCGTGGGACAACATGGTAAATCATGGTCTAATACGATTTAATACGGTTATTAAGATGGGACAACATAGTACATCATGGTCTAACAACATTTAATACGGTTATTGAGGTGGGACAACATGGTACATCATGGCCTAACAACATTTAACACGGTTATTGAGGTGG